TTTATTTACAACAGCAGGGCAGGATGAAGTGAGCGGATTCCCACGGACCAACAGAGGATGGCAGGCTTACGTTGACTGGTGATCTATCCGTGGAATGTCTAAGGACGTCTGGTGTTCACGGGTCATGGAGTAGAAGGGTAAAAGACTGTACGCACTGACAACCAGGGTCTAAATACTGCCAGGAGTTTATGTGTTGGATGAGGATCTGGTGTGTCAGCCTGCAGGATAATCGGTTGGATGGTATGCAGTGTGCTTTTCGTAAAGTTTATTTTGTGCTACTGAAATGCCCATACACAGATTCACACACACGTAATAAAACTAGTTCCATATGGTTATCTACACATACATGTATGTACACATATATGTTATACATAAGCGCATACAGTACCACATAACCAGTGGTCCCTAACCTTTTTTTCCTCACGTACTGTTTTTATGTTAGAAAATATTTTGTGGACTGGTCTTGATGGTGTGGCGGATAAACATGGCCGACGGGAGGGGGGATGGTAGTAATCGTTGTGGACCGACCGACGGGAAGGTAGGGGGGTGTTGCGCGCTCTCTGTCCGTTGGTGGGCGGAACTGCCGTGCGCAGCGAGGAGTAGACAATTGTAAATGTGAAAAAAACGCCAAAATTGTCCGAAAAAAAAGTCGAAATGACTATATATATACATATTCTTTCTCTGGTGCGGCCCAGTATCAAAAAGCCCAACGACCGGTACTGGTCCCTGGCCCGGTGGTTGGGGACTTCTGCTCATAACTATTAATTTGTATGAAATAGATACTCTATGGGCTTGTTCCTATTTACTTATTCTGAAAGAGTTTAGAAAATTATATTTGCTAGCAAAATCTCATTCAATAATGCATTCCATTAAGCCTACTGCGAGCAGCCGCATTTAAAGAAATATACTCAGGGTGAAAATCAGCATATACAATTTACCCTTATTTACACTTATGCAATTAACTTCTCTACGATATTTTGCGACTATTATTAAATTATATTCCTTTTATTTTCTATAGCCCAAAGTCGCAAATTTGCCAATTCATTTATGGTTTAAACCCCCAAAAAGAAACGTGTGCTGATTTTGGTTGATGTGATTGCAGAAGAGTCTGTCCCGTACAGTACTCATTCTGGTTCTCCTGTGCGTCCCTTCAGGGAGCTAAGCAGCCAGCCATTCAGCAGCATGATGTTGTTAACAATGTGGACGATTCTCCTTTAACCTCACTAAAAAGTTTTTAAAATCCAAACTTAAACTTAATCATGACGTAACCATACTGTAGGTTAAACAGGAGCTCTGATATGTGTCAGACCAGAAGGCAATCTTTTAAAAATCTTTGTGTTCTCTAAACAAGATGTTCCACACACTTCACATCAAATTTGCTTTCAAATATCCTATCCTTTCAATCGTCTCCAAGTCTAGTCCGACAAACAGTATTTCCTTGAATATTTCTTTGGTGCTCACCAAAATGAAAGCCACCAAAAAACCATTGCACCGGCTGAATCTGTGTGTTGATCAGTGTAACGGGAGAAGCCAGGGAATCTGAGAAAGCAGGGGTCAATGAGGCGCCTGTGGTGAGTTTGGATATAGATATTTCCAGAACGGAAATTCCACAGGTTATTTCTGGATCATGTCAGACAGAGATTGTCTAAATGGCAGCCCAGTCAATTATTTGTAAGAGAAAAGATAAAGAACGGACATTATGAAGGGGCTGCTGCAAAGATTGATTTAAAGCTTACTTATTCTTACAAATGCAGTTGTGTTAGCTGACTGCCTTCAATAGGAGTCAGAAAAGGGAACGCCCCTAACTTTACATGTTGGCACCAAATATGAATTCAATTCATTTTATTTTTCCAGAAATTGAAAATTTGCCTCAGAGGGCTTTACAGTCTGTACACAAACGTAATCCTCTTTCCCGAAAACCCTCACATCGGCACAGGAAAAAGACATTACAGAATGAACAGTGTAAAAAGCATACAAAACGCTCAATTCCTACAACAGATATTATTAAAATATTGAGAGTAGTAAGCCAGGTGTACGGCAGGACCACTGCAGGGACAACCACCATCCACAGAAAGCTGTGGGGAGGGAAAGCAAAAGACAGAAGAAAGAAACAGAACAAAGTTGGTTTGGTTGGAAATTAGATCTCTATTTCCGGCCATGTCTAAATCGTGCTGTTACATAAGCAGAAACAACAGGTGTCTTTAATAGTTTCACAGCGATGCAGTCAAGCAAAATCCCTTTTAGTGTGTGCGTGTTAATGAGGGTGATGTTCTTTTCATGATGTGCCCGCTGCTTGTTGGATGTTAAGCTGTTAATTCAGCATCCCCGGTCCAGGCGCCGCTTCATACGCTATATTCAAACCACCTTCCCCAGGGCCTCCCAAAGTGCCTTTGGATCAAGGTGCACTACAGTATGTCCTTTGGGTGAGTAATCCAAGCCAACAGGATGTAATTGCAGGCTCAGAATGCAAGAGGAATCTTGCTTCCATGTTTGCATTCTGCACTGTTGGTCAAAGCTTACCCTTTAGGGCAGGGGTGTCAAACTCATTTCAGGTTCGGGCCAGACACAGCCTACTTTGATCAAAAGTGGGCCAAACCATTACAATAATAGTGAGGGGCCGGCCGACGTGGGGAGGGCGGCGCAGACTTTGCGACTGGGGGGGGCGCGGACTTTACGGCCGGGGAGGGTGGGGGTTGTAGGCTGAATGTGTGTATTGCGGACTGAAAGATAACGTCTTCTCCATCAATTTATAGCTACATTTATACATTTATAGCTATTTTTAGCTACAATATGTTGGATTCATGTTAATGTGTATTTAAAAGAAATAAATACAATTCTGATCCTGAAGACAAAAAAAAAAAATTTAAATAAAAAAAAGAAAAATTGTCTTATCAACCAAATATTTCGCAAGCCTCCTCCAATACCTCCGCAGACCCCCTGTTGAAGACCTCTGTAATAGAGGAATAGTAGGATCCCTTTCCTTTGTTCTTGTTAATACATGTTGCAACATTCTGAATCAACTGGAGATGCTTAAAATAATTGTTAGAATAAAGTAATCTAGTCCAGTCATCAAAAAGCATGATTCATTAATTATATTTTTTCTGTATCACATTGAGACAGGAAGTGCCTGATTTTTTATATATCACATACTGTTACCAATATATTACAATATACCAATATATTACATGCTACATTATGTTAATTTTATCTGAGAGTTAAAGGACACATGCTGATTGAAGATAACTCCAAGATTCTTGATACCAGAGCAATGCCATCCAGAGAAACATTCTCCGGAAACTTTATTAGGTCCACCTTGCTAGTAAAAGGTTGAACCCCCTTTTGCCTTCAGAACTTCCTTAATTCTTTGTGGCATACTGCCTACAATAATAAACTCATTGCAGGGTTGTCAAGCCTCACGCATTGTCCGTGACATTCAACCAGTTCACACGACACACCGTTTTCCCTTCTCGGCCACTGTACGTTTGTTACTAAGCAACATAGGCGCGCAAGCACACGTGTCAGGTGGAGGCTTTTGATGTAACTTGAGAACGTGTGCGGCACATAGCATGAGTAGGAAAACCTGGAGGGCAGACGCAAAAGAGAAAAATTGGTGATGAAACCAGGAATGAAGAAGAGACAAAGAAAAAGAAAAGATTGTTCAACGCAGAGTGGAGGTCCAGTCGAGAATGGCTAGTTCATGATCCAGCCAAGAAAATAATGTATTGGACTGATTGTAGGACGTACGGGAGTGAAAGGTTAAGGGGTTTTCTTTGTAGTTGGGACAAGCAATTTCACAGTGGAAACAATAAAGGACCATGAAGTTTCCATTGGCCATGTCAAAAGCATTGCGACTAAACGGACAAAGACTTGTTGTGGTAAGGTCCCTGGTCCTCACAAAGTCGGTGGAGCTTTACATCCCTGCACCAGTTTTATTCAATTTCCCAACAACAAATCCAAGAGACAGGTGGAAGGGTTAGACTTAGAAGTTGTAGAAATTGATCACGGCGGTATCTCCCAATTCTGCAGGAGTATTTCTGTCCATTGCCAGAGAGGGATTTTTCTTATGTTGAACACAACGGGTGGGAATCTCTTGACACCTCACGATTCGATTCTGATTCTGAGGTCAACGATTTGATTCTAAACCGATTATGAATTCTAAATAGATAAAACGATTATCAATGCATCTCGACTTTTAAAACATTTGACTTTGCTACTCTGAGTCTCAAATCTGAGTTTGCTACTCAGGGGTTACTAATCACTTCCTACTTTGTTTGATAGTTAAAGAAAATCAACAGATGAATTACCTTCTCTTATTTCTTATAAGAGAAAAAAAATCTTTGTCACAAATATGACTTTCTATCAACAAAGCAATAACCAATGCAGCTTGCATTTTAACACAATATATGCAAGTTAATGTGTAAGAACAGGAGCCGGTCGACATGCTCTGGTGTTTCCGTGAGCATCCACCAGATAGATGATCCTTATACACTAGTCAGCATGATAACGTATGACCCATTAAACGTCCGTTAAAGACATTCAACCACTGGCCAGAATGTAGCCTTGCTAGCTAGCTACAGGCACCCGGCCAACATCCATGGCTAGTTAGCTAGCGCTTCCGAGAAATAACCGTAGCCCAATAACAAGAAATGTTTTCAACCGTTAGCGGGGTTGAGCTAGGTACAAATCCTACCTGGAAAAAAATTTACAATTCCGATTATGAACTCAAGACCGAATTGTTCTAGGGAGATTCGAGAGAAATCGAAAAAAACAAGGTGTTATGGGTACAGAGCTCAATTTGGCCGTTTTTACAGCATTTAATACATGGTGTGGTAGGTAGGTTTGCCACCTTCAATACAGAAGAATAAGGGATGTTACAGCCAACGGGGGTGGGGGGGCAACCCTAATAGTAGGACAATTTCAGTCCGTAACTAATCAATGCAGTATGAATCTAAAAGTGTTCTCTCTCTCTCTCTCTCTCTCTCTCCCTCTTTGTTTTGCAGGACCTCCAGTAAGTAGACCAGATGCCTTGTGTGACCTGTGCGTGGTAAAGTAACTTCAATATGAAGGGTTTGGTCCACAACATTACCTGCTGCCATTATGTTGCCTTGTGTGGATGCAGTGATGATGTGCAGTGTTTTACTAAATAACACAGTCAATAGTATAAATATGATATTCTCTCATGAAGCAAAGCCTTGTTTTGTATCATCTGTTATGTCCTCACCTACGTTTCAAGATGTCCACATGTGGGGATTTCTACAAATCATTCTCATAGTTTTTAATATTTGCTGTGTTGATTTTCTTTAAGCTCCTGGCCTCTAATAGTATATCGTATAGAGTCGTTCAAGCTCGGACTCCTTCCTGCCATAGGATAATCCAGGGGCCAGTATGCCGAGTTTAGATAAGGCAAATCCTGAAAAACAAGATTTATTTTATTTAAGTCAATAAGTAAAATACTACGACGGCCACAGAGAGGTTCTAGCAGAAAAGTCCTCATGAGCTGATGTTAAAAAGAGGGAGCTCGTTAGGATAACATATAGTAGATGACGTGAACCAATCAGCAATGGATAGAGTAGAATTTCAATCAACCACAGACAAGGATACGGGGTCCAAAGAGACCACAGAAACTGATAGCAAGGGTCTAGCTGGACCACAATAAGGCATGTTGGGACAACAGATCTCGAGGTGAAAGAAGGACAGGAGGTTGGGATTGAGTTAGACCGCACACAAGGTAAGGATGTGATATTATAAACCTGCACACAAGACAAGATTGTGGTCATGTCAGACCGCAGCACAGAACGGTCAGGGGGCTAACGTACTCCGCAAGTGAGACACAAGAACAGACATACAATTCCAGTCAAAAGTTTGGATACATTTTCTCATACAATTCCATGAGAAAATGTGTCAAAACCTTTGACTGGTACTGCAGTTGCGGGGGGGCAACCCTCTGAGAACAACTTAACTCGGTTCACTCAGACCAATAAAACAGGATTTTTGTCAGAAGTCACTTTTGTTTTGTAAATTGAAAATGGTCAAGTTAGACTAAGACATTGAGCACGATCTAAAGAAATTGAGCCAATGGTTAAAGTAGAACAGGTTCATATCAGACCACTGAATAATGGGTAGTGCAATGGCCTTTTACCGTTATGAGAGAAGATCTTTAATAGATTCTGCGTAGCATAGCAATGCCACAGAACAATTTGCATGAAATCATTCTGATAATAACATGCAATTAGACAAAAGGACGAAATTAGGCGGTAACTGTTTTTGCCTTGAACAAGGTGCTTTACCTGGAGAAATCTTTATATTACGGGTAGAATATATTACGCTATGTCCCAGTATACACCAAAAGCTTCAAATTATTGTTGTTATAATTGTCCCACTGAAAGATTGCTGCTTAACTGTGGATCTACTGCTGTAAGCACTGCAGATATTGCTTTATGTTGCATACCGATGTCTTGTGTTGTTTTAACCAGAGGCGTGCCAATATGTTAGCTGCTTGTGATATGTATTGCCTACTCAGTGAAAGATCAGGTACTGCAGATGCCAGTGAATGCTGAGCTGCTTCGATCTGTGTGGATGTGGATGGTTGACTTGCCATACCGAGTGTTAGCCTCTTGAAATCCTGGGTGGCCGCGATAGTAGTTGATGTAGAAGGAATAGAAGAGTTTCTCAGTTGTTGGCAAGCCTAGATGGTGTTTATGGAGCTGACCAGTGCCTGCAGAGTAGAGATGATGATGTCTGTCCTCGATGGGCCCAGAGTAGGTGGAGCACACGTATAGAGCTGCAACTAACAATTATTTTTAGAATCGATTAATCTGTCGATTATTTGTTCGATTAATCGATGAATCGGATAAAAAAATAAAATATTCAAAAACATAAATTTTCAACCCTTTATTGAAAAATAGAACTGACAGTGCAAAACATATTTAGAAAGTGCACAAACAGATTGCTCCTTGAACATGCCTAAGTAAGAAAATAAAATGGACTAACACAAAAACCATCAACAACGTCTGAACTTATCTACTACACTCAGACAAACACACTCAAACTCACACACGCACTCACTCTCTGTCACTCCCCTGTGTTCAGACAATTTGCATTGCAATGCAAAAATGTTAGCATGTCTACATGATCCTGGCTCAGGCTGGCTCTTTTCTTGGATGCTATGTTTCCCGCTGCAGAAAACAGCCGCTCAGAAGGTGTTGAGGTGGCAGGGATGCATGACCTTCCACCACAGTAATGAGTTTTCTTCCATGGCAAGGCTTTTTTCTTCAAAGTATGTAAGGACTTCTTTCCTCACTTGGGTGTGGACATCATCCTCAGCTTGGCCTGCTCTATCATCTTCTTCATCATCAGAAGAACCAGGAAGTGAGTCAAGTAAAGTGGCTGTTCAGTTTCCTAAACCTTGGGCCAAGGGCCATCGCAAGAATCACTGTGTTTGGTGCTCCATCTGAGAAAGTAGTCTCCCTTTTCCATCTCTCCTTCAACTGCTGCACAGCAGTAAGCTGGAAAGCCCGCAGCGGTGCTGACTCGTAGGCAGCACTCTGGGTGGACTTCAACAGCCCCTTCACAAGTGGAGGTATTGCAGATATTGTTGCATATTTCTGTCCACTCATGAACACAGTGGCACATTCAAAAGGCCTGAGGACTGTTGAAAGCTCTTCCAGCAGGCTCCACTGGTCTGATTTCAGGTCCAGGTACCTTTTGCTTCTCTGTGTGACAGAGCTGTCAGACAGTGTTGCTGTTACAGGCCACCTCTGCTCAAGCCTTATCATGTAGCATGTGCTATTCCACCTGGTGCTTACGTCTTGAACAAGGCTGTGCTCAGGTGTGTTCATTTGCTGTTGTTTCTCTCTGAGCTTACTGCTGGCTAGCTCACTTTTCTTAAAATGTTCTACCAGACGTCTTGCAGCCCCGACAGCTTTTTCAATGCCTGGATACTTCAACGCAGCATTGATCACAAGTTGCAAAGTATGGCCAGTGCAACGGAGGACCACCCATGCTTCTCCTCCAGGATATTTGCCGCAGCCACAATGTTAGCACCATTGTCATGGACTATGGCAATGATTTTCCTAGGAGGAATTTCAAATCTGGCCACTACCTGCTCCAACCACTCTGCAATGTTAGATGCAGTATGTCTGTCCTGCAGTGGCATGGTGGTGAGGCAGATTGACTGCATGTTCCAGTCATCTGTGATGTAGTGGCATGTAACGCCAAGGTAGGCTTCAGTTGCTACACTTTTCCAAACATCAGTGGTAAGAGCAAGTTTGCTGTTGTTGGTGTTTATTGCAGTCTTCACTTCCGTGAATGTCACTTCATATTTTCTCTCCATGAGCTTTGTAAAGTGGGTCCTGGAGGGCAAAGTGTAACCAGGGTTTAAGTTGTGTATCATTTTAGTGAAGTCGTCATCTTCAACCATCGACAGAGGCCTCATGTCAGTGACAAGCATGTTGAGGATACTATCCGTCAAGACAGCAGCTTGCTGTGGTGTTCAAGTCAAGTCAAGTCATTTTATTTTGTATAGCCCATTATCGCAAATTACAAATTTGCCTCAGAGGGCTTTACAGTCTGTACACATACAACATCCTCTGCCCCGAAACCCACCATCGGCACAGGAAAAACTCCCCAAAAAATGAAAAAACCCTTACAAGAGGGAAAAAAGGGAAGAAACCTTAGGGAGAACGTCAGAGGAGGGATCCCACTCCCGGGATGGACAGACTACAATGGATGCCATGTGTACAGAATGAACAATGTATAATAAATGCAATTCCTATGACAGAAATGATAGTAATGAAGTAGTTGTGAGTAGTAAGCCAGGCGCACAGCAGGACCACTGCAGGGGCAACCACCATCAGATAGAACCACCATCACATAGAACCACCATCCACAGAAGCCTGTGGGGAGGGAGAGCACAGAGATTTTAGGAGAGGGTAATGTCGGTTTATGAGTAAAGCAATATGATTAATATCTAAAATAATGATGATGATGATGGCAGCAGCAGGCGTCAGCATGGCCACGGTAGGTGTCAGGACCAGGGTCCCGAAGGAACCACGATCTACGGAGACCTGATAGGGAAGAAAGCAAAAAAAAAAACTCCCGGAAAGAAGCTGAATTAGTCATGTGCATTAATAAAACGTGAATTATGGTAGAACAAGAGCGTGCAAGAGGAGCTTGGTGTGTCCTAAAAATTCCCCCGGCATTCTAAGCCTATAGCAGCTTAACTAAGGGCTGGTCCGGACTAACCTGAGCCAGCCCTAACTATAGGCAGAATCAAAGAGGAACGTTTTAAGTTTTACTTTAAAAGAGCTGACCGAATCTGCCCCCCGGACTGAAAGTGGAACCTGGTTCCACAAAAGAGGAGCTTGATAACTGAAGGCTCTGGCCCCAGCCTACTTTTTAAAACCCTAGGAACAACAAGTAACCCAGCATCTATGGAGCGCAGTTGCCTTGTAGGGCAATACAGTGTTACAAGCTCTTGAAGATACAACGGTGCCTCACCAGCAAGTGCCTTGTAGGTGAGGAGAAGTACCTTAAAATCTATTCTTGATTTAACAGGGAGCCAGTGCAGAGAAGTTAATACAGGAGTGATATGATCCCTTTTCTTAGTTCTTGTTAATACACGTGCTGCAGCATTCTGAATCAACTGGAGAGGCTTAAGAGATTTACAAGAGCAGCCTGAAGAACAAAGAATTACAGTAGTCAAGTCTGGAAGTGACAAACGCATGAACTAATTTTTCTGCATCACTTTGAGACAGGAAGTTCCTGATTTTTGATATGTTACGTAGATGAAAATAGGCAGTCCTTGAAGTCTTCTTTATATGCGAGTTGAAGGTCATATCCTGGTCGAAGAGAACTCCCAGATTCCTGACGGTGCTGCTGGGTACCAGAGCAATTCCATCCATAAAAACTGTATCACGTGACAGCTGGCTTCGTGTTCATGATGTATTTCCCATCAAGAAGCCTCTCATGGTTTGCTGTTTTTTTCTGGAATCAAAAAGATAGTATTAGTATGTGTAATAGCACAAAACTGATTTGTTCACTTCAAATATAAAGATCTTGGAATGAGATGGCTAGCGTTTAGTCCACTGTCTATAATAGCCTAATTTAGAGATCACTTTTTTTTTAACAGACTACTGAGAACTTTGATCGCTTATACATGACAACAGATTGAAATATTAATGGTCCAAAAAAGGCAAGGGAATAAAAACGTGTCTTTTGTCTACCCTACCTGGATAACGAGTAAACACCAGAAGAGCGACGTTACATTCATTACTTCAAAACGAAACAAAAGTGGTAATTTGTAGTGACTTACCCTGCTGTTGAACTCCCTTCCTCATCAAGGACTCCAACATGTTTCCGTTTAAGGTGCTGAATCATCGCCATGGTGCTTCCGTGCCAGGCCATGTCGCTTTTGCATATCTTGCAATTAACACACTATTTTGATTTATTCAGTGTGAAATATTCCCATACCTTGGAGGATTTAGGTCGCATTTGTGTTAGGATTTAACACACCAGTAAGCGAGAAAAATCATGGTTCCAGACAAACAGAATTCAAGTAATGGAGTGGCCAGCACAATACCCTGCCCTTAATCCCATAGAAAACTTGTGGGCTGACATAATAAATGCTGTTCATGAGGCAAAACCAAGAAATGTGGTGGAATTGTGGAACGTAGTACAATTGGCCTGGGCTGCAATACCTGTTGACCGGTGCCAGAAGTTTTTCTACTCCCATGTGCCACAGATGTGAAGCAGTTATCAGAAACGGTGGTTATGCAACTAAATATTAGTTTATGATTCTCAAGAAAGTTGAATCTTCAAGCATTTCTTAGTTTATACAGTAAATGTTTGAGTTTGTAAAAAAGATGTCAACACTGCTATTTTTTTGAACATTATATTTCTTGACTTTCTGTAAACTATTATCAAATTCATTTTTTTTCCAATTTTCTTGCTTTGAAATAGAATGTGCAGTGTCCCCAATGCATTTGTGTTTTAATTTATTTGAAGAATTTTGAGGTTTACTCACCGTTTACTCACACACTGCTATTATTAGGAACATAACTATTATGCCGAAGACTAAAGCCTAGTTTATGCTTCTGCATTTTCAGAGTGACGCAGACGCAAGACCCCCTAGCGTGTCCCTTGCGTCGCTTTTCACACCTCCTTGCGTTCTTGTGTGTGTCGAGCCATTTTTCTAAGCCTCCCGCAGCGCACCAGGCTGCGATTGGTCCGCTAACTACATCCTTTACGGAGTCTCACATTTCCGCTTTCATAGCCCGATACCGCCATTACTAAAACGAAGAATGTTTACGAGAGAACGGATCCGATTTAAGAACTTTTGTCGGAAGAAATGCGTAAATATGACCGCTTATACAAGCCGTTTATTGGCGGGTTGTATAAGCGGGTTGGATTCATGGAGGGAGATCGCCGCAAACGCCGTTTTGCCAGTCGAGAGGTGCGCAAAGTTGTGGAGGAAAATACGGGACAAATGTGTCCGCGATGAAAAGCAGCAGTGGCGATGCACGGGGCAATAAAGTCTATGATAAATAAATAAACAAATAAATAAATAGACGTGACTCTCTAGGTCGTCTTTAACAAAAACGCGTTACTCCGCCTGTTCTTCTGGACGTGAATTGCTCTGCAACACACGCAGAACCATGAATTGAAACGAGTGCGTCAACGCAACGACGGAGAAGCATGCGGCGGCCTTAATTCCTTGATAAGGCTCAAAATACTGAAACAAACACAAAGGCTGTGGCCCTGCTTCAGCTTTTGCAGGACAGCACTACGGGGATGATATATTTATGTAGGCTAACCCACACAGCACACAACAGAGTGATAATTTAACTATTTTTGGAGTTAGTACTTTAAAACTAATTTAGTGTGATTATTGACTCTTTCATAAGGTTGAAATTGAGCTCTTCTTAAAACTAAGCAGCATCTAACGCCGCTTAGTTAGAGTTAGAGTTCTCAACATTTGTTTTAAGTGTTAAAAAGTATTGCCTTAAGGCATGGTTTGTCAATTAAGTGTTACTCCAGTAGTAACAATAAGTTGTAAATCTGTGTCTTTATTAAAAAACGAATGCATGTTTTTTATTTTATTTTTAGAACCAAACATATAGTTAACAGTAATCTACTTACAGCTCAATGTTTCAATCAGTCAAAAGCACTGTTGCGTTTTTTTCCTGTCAGAGACTTACTGGCTTCCTTCAGTCGGTGTGCGTACAATGTCACAGGAGTGAATTTACACCAGCAGCGTCACGTTTGGAGTTTGGACTTCAGTTAATGTTACTACAATGATACTTGATAAGATTCTGCTAAATAGACACAAACTATTTTTAAAGTTAAATATAGGAGATTTGAGTCCATCCAGAGTAAAATGAACTCTTCATTAGCTCAAATTTCACCAATATCAAATAATTTACTTTTTACTGTGCCGAAGTAAGCATCATACAGAGTAAGAAAGCTGTGGTTAACAACTGTTTATAATACCTAGATATTTGTTGAGCAAGATTACACTCTCATGCTTTTGTGTAGTTAATGTAATCACCAGAAGTAAGCAGCTAAATAAACTACACCACGATCACTATGACGGATGGGACCTGCTGAAGCATAAGCAACATTCATTACATTTAGGTACAACAAACAAAAAGGTCTGTAACTACCTGCACACAAACCAGATTGATAGCATTTCTGATATTAGCATGAAATTAAATTCTAAAAGTTGTTTTTTAGGGGGCTTCATGAATGAATAATGATATGATAAGCTGTTATTTTTACATTTTCCAATGGTAGATTGCTAGTTGAAAATAAAAATAAAAACTATTTAGACTCTAAACAGACTCTGACTTTATTCACAGTTAGAGGATATTAGAAATAAAGTCAGCTTTATGGTAAGATAATACCAATGTGAATGGAGTAAATGAAATCTCTTTTTTAGAGAGTCCACAAACTATAGTCAAATAAACCCCACTCCCACCTTTTCCCTCCTTCCCATTTATTCAGCACCACTTTGCCACAAATGGGAGCCACGTGTTGGACGGTTACTGTGTAATTCGAGTGAAGGGTTTGTTCTGGCAGTAGGTGACCTTTTGTCCCTCGCAGACTGCCCGTGGAGATCCAGTAGCTAATGGGGAGGTACTTCTATTCAGCATGTCCACACTCAGCACCTGGCCATGCAACTTAATGCACTTCCATCTGACTGCCGGCCTGCGTTAGCAGAAATTAGTCACGTCTGCTAGAACCTGTAAATTAGGGCCATCGTGCACTTGTGTTTTTATGGACTGGCTTCCACTCCAGCTGCTGCTGGAGTTAAACCGATGCTGTGGTGTTTATTAAATGTTGTATATAGTATTTTACTCTTTGAATACTCAAGGTCACAGAAATGAGCCCTGAAAATTAAGGAACAAGTAGGGCTCAGACAAGGCAAGAGGATGCACTGTCCAACCTGGCCATAACTGAAAGCAATTGTATTCTAGATCTTTGTGAGTTGTTCTTGATGAAAACCACTACAGTGACGTGTGCGGTTGTCCCTCTCGACAGATTTCTCAAGAGTCACCTACGCGTTTTTTTTTGCCGTGCGAACCAACTCCTGGGTGGTAGTAGTCACACACACACTCAGCGTTCTGATCCGCTCAACTCTCTTTTTTTATATACTCAAACATCTTTGCGACATATTATTGAGCGACACAACGAAACAATTACAAAATTTGTTTCCAATTATTTTAATAATGATATAATAATTAATAATAATTAATTTTATCACTTTGTTGTTTCAGCCCTTCATGGTACTGCATAAGCAGTGTTCTGTCTTTGTGCTGTCACCGAGCTGAAAAGTACAAGATAAAATCTGTTTATATACGACTATATCCAAATTATTTTATTCTGGCTTGGTTCAGTGTAGGCATATTTCATTATGTGGAATTAATCTGTAAATTCACTCTTTCCTTTTTGTACCAATTCTCCCTCACCTCTTTCTCAGGGTCCTCCTGGACGTGCAGGCTTTCCGGTAACTGTTTTTTGAACTTGTCTTTGTGTGGCTCTATATACAGTATTTGCATGAATAATTCATCATCACTACGGTATTGGATTTTTGAAAGAGTTTTAACGACCATATATAGTATCAGTTGACTGCAAGATGTTTTTTTAATCAATGTACAGATCTCTTGAATTCCTAATTTCCTTTTGTGAATTGGTTTTTGAGGCTCTTTTGCTGCATGGCTTGAGGTTATGCATCTTTTAAAGATGATAGAACACAAACTCTACTTTAAAAATGTGAGTCTGGATTTGTTCCAGTTTGTACTACACTAAAGAGAGTAAAGAATTATTAAAGAAAACATCATAGTTTGGGTTAAAATAATTAGTTTGTCACGCAACTTACGTAGCCTCTCCATGATCATCATTTGTTGTAAAATCATTGAACAAATGGCTACATTTTGTCTTTAAGTATCCCACCTTTTGTATATTTTATATGATTGTATGTCTTTGATAATCACACTAGTTTGTTTGGATCAAAACATTACTTTGATGGGCTTGTAGTGAAGTTGTGTGGCTTAATATGTCTATGAGTTGTGTTGCTCAATATCTCTTTTAAACAACATTATATTAACACTATTTGATGCCATTTGATGGTGTCTGTCAAGGGTGTTAAATTGTTGTGAAACATAGTCCAGCGAGACCTTTTCTCCTAGTAATATATGAAAAAATCACAAATGCCTCTGTGGTCCTAAATATGCTAGATATTTTTCCATTCTAGATAAACAACTATAAATATTTAATAAATGTAGCTTAAACGTAGTGCTGGGGCTGCTCTTATGAAGATTAGTGGGTGTCGCTATTTAACCAATTTACACCAACAAAGCCAAACATGAAGTCTCTATAACTTAGGCGCTGTGTAAATATCAATGTTTCTCCAACCATAATATCAGGGGATGCTCCATCTTTTTTTTTGCCCCGTCCATTCATAATACCATGACTTCTGGGTTGTCCAAAATTCTCCACTATTCCTTTCCTAAATCCCGCTTAGAATTTCCGTGTAGTGTCAATTCTGGATGTGTCAGGTCATTACACAAATGGGTGTTTTCCCAAGAAGTTTCCCTCTGCACAGGAAGTGTTGTTAAGGCAGCATTGAAAAGATCATTGCCGTTCACTGACTAACGACTCATGACTACATGAGTGGAATAAATGATTAACGAGTCACGTGACAAAATAAATTAACACTGAATCTTGAATTTTACACATGACACGGTAAGCTGTCCCCTGAGTGAAAGTCCTGTGTTTGTTTGACCCTTCACACCCTCTTTAAAAAACTATTGGTCGAACTCACAATGAGTCAGTTTAAAGCCTGGTGGAGTTAGGAGCAAGACCATTTTGAATATCTGCCTTTATCTGATCCACTGTAAAACTAAATCAAGGCAAATGTGATCTCGTGGGTGTCTTTCTCACAGGCAGTACTTCAACTCAAGGTCCAGCTGAGGGACATTACGACTGTAAACATGCCTCAAACACCTCATAATTGCCCTACTAGGGACTTGTATAATTCCTTTTGTTAGCTGTGTTTGTCAGTGCATGGCGTTGTGTCTGTGTGTTTGCGTATGTGTTTGACAAGACAGTAAAAACAGCCTACTTCTTCTGGGAACAAATCACGTTTTGAAACATTTTTTGAAACGTTTTGCAGCACCAATCGCTATAACCTTCAGTTCACTTGTTTCTCCACAGTCCACTTTATTCTTATCATGCTATTAGACCTACTTTGGTCTAATAGCATGATTGTGAAGGTTATATTTTGTGATCACATTAACAATCCTGTTCAATGCTTTGTAAAGCCCCTGGTAAAGCTCTGGATTAAAACAAATGTTTGTATGTGACAGATTCTCTGTCAACGCTGCGATTTAAATTACAACCTTGGTCAGCACTTCATATAGCCTAATAGTAGTTAAAGCCTTACAAAGTATACCACATAGTAATGACAGAGATACCAGCACATCTGATGTTTCAAGGCCAAAAATCGCTTAATCAATGTCCAAGCTGACTTTAAATATCGTAACGTTCAGTCTCAAGTCTGACATGTAGACTGAGCATTTAACATGAAACATTTATATTTACATTTAACATTTATATTTACTATTTATATTTAAAATGTATATATAACATTTAACTTTTACATTTACATTTCCGTTTACATTTAACATTTATTTTTAACATTTATATGTAACATTTACATTTAACATGTATATTTACATTTAACATTTGTATTTATATTTAACATTTATATATAACATTTATATTCACATTTAACATTTAGATGAAACAGTTAACATTTTATGTTGTTAAATAATATAAATGGAACTTGGAAAAGTTATTTACTTTATTTGAATTTACATGAATTTCTCTCTAAATGTTGTCGTGCTTCTTTTTTCATATGATAATGCTAAATGTACCAAAACTGTGCAGGATTTTACAAACGGCGCCCCATATGAATGGGCCTCCATCTCTCTTTTTATCATGATCAGCCAAAGACAAAACATGAAAAAACAAAAATTCAGTGACAACAAAGTCGATGTGTTATTTCTGCATTAGTGGTGGGGAAATGTATGTATTGACTAGTGCGCTGTAGCAAAGCGATAAGTACTTGTGCTGTGATAAGGCTGACTAGAGACTGCGATATTCCCACTGCTGATGCTATGACTGTTTGAAATTATCCTGATACCAATAATTGTAATGTAGCAAGAGTTTAACAACTGTTGGAATGGAATGTGAACGCTGAGTGGGAGATGTCATCTTTGATTTCTTCCAGTAACTGTAATATTGCATGGCTGTTTAATGATTTTGTGTTCACTCTACTGAAAAAGTGTGATCCTTGTGGCAAAATCCTTTCAGCTCGTCTCCTTGTCCTATTTCACCGTCTCAAATTACTGCTGTCATTACATCAGGAGGCATATATATGAGGAAACCTGCATTGTAGTTTACATTACATTACATTACAGGTCATTTAGCTGACGCTTTTATCCAAAGCGACTTCCATTGCATTTTTAACCCATGGCTTTTACATTTTTGCCCGGGGAGCAATTAGGGGTTAGGTGTCTTGCTCAAGGACACTTAAAAATGGGACTTGTAGCAGCTGGGGCTCAAACCATCAACCTTGCGGTTCCCGGCGCACGCTCTCTACCCCTGCGCCACATCAACCCCACGCACACCTGCTTTTCAGAAGCAGAGAATTTTCACCGCAAAACGGAGGCACGCTTCCATGGGCGGTTTCTGTACATACCACGGAATACATAATTAGGTGCCCTTTACGCATCCCCTCCCATCTCTTTATGGAAAACCAGGTCAGGCTAATGAGCTAATAATGTTGGAGCATCCAAAATGACAGAAGAGTTAGAAAACATGCAGATGAGATGAAAAAAAATAAGGATGTGGTCAAATGTAAGACACAAATGCCAAAGGTCTATTTACACTGTCCCTTGAAATAGCGTCGCTCACATACGGAAGATACGCGTCAAACACAATTGAGGACGTGGTTTCAGTGTGACTATGAGCCGGTTAGAGTCTGGTGTTTCAGATCCAGCCATTGATTGTAACTTCATTCCTTTGCTGACCATATTGCGCTCTATACTTCATCTTCTGTGCCTGTTCAAGATTATGAAGGTTGTATATAAATTATACTACATTTCTAGCTACAAACAGTGAATGACAATAGTTTGACTCTTATTATAATGTTCATAGTTGTCAATTGTTTGAAATGAAAGTTTTGATAAAGCATAAAGGCCTTAAACTAAATCTGTCATTGGGTTGGGCATGGATGCAGAGTACCACAGCATCATGGAGTGGTTGTCTTTAGTCTTAGCATTGGGCATGGCATATTTCCCTAACCCTTTCATTACTAACAATTCATATGCGTAAATGGATACCACAGCATTAGGACACACCCATTATTAGCATCTCTTTCCCACTAGTAACACCAGAAATATTCATTTTAACACTGCTAAAAATGTGTATATATATATAATATATATATGCGCTGTTCTTATACTGGGTCTGTGGAAGTTTCAATTTGGATTTAAATTTGAGTCGGATAAAATAAAAAATTATTGTAATGAAAATGAGTGGTCTAAATGTCGAGGTATCCCTTTATAAGTTCACTTCAGACCAACCTTGTAATTGACACTTGTTCCTTCTGAATTTGCGTTGGTCAATAGGGGGACAAAGGAAACATAGGGATTCCTGGGAGAATGGTGAGTGACTTAGGGATTAAGTGCGCAATTTAATGGTTACATTTATTATGCCACAAGCAACATCATCATTATATGGGAGGGGGGGCCCCGCACCCCAAAGAAAGTTTTTTTTTTATGCTTACAATACTCCATTGCTCTCTGCGCACAGCAGATGCAGGGCTTTGGAAAATAAAAATGTTTGGGTATGAACCCTCCTCCCCCACCAGTCAGTTGGACCTACCTAATGAAAAACAAATTGGAGCAATGTAGTGTTTTAAACGATACCCAGCTCTAGTGTAGGTAGGCCATAGATGTGCTAGACTGTTTTCCTTATAACTGGTAGGGGAAACATTGCTGTGACCTCAAGGGCATCCAAGTATCATAATGCCCACATTTTGGAACCATCCAAAATAACTGACACACCGGTCAGGTGTCTGTGGAAAATAACAGTATTATTTATTGCAATTTGAAAAGTGGAGCATTGTAATTGTTGACTTTTAACCATAGTGCGTAGGTACACATGTTATTGCTGATAACGTAAATAAACACTTAGCCATCTGTAGTATTACCATACAATAATGAAATACCGAAAAGATTACTAATACTACACATACTTGGGTGATGTAATTTTAATTACTCCTATATTTTCTTGGAGTTATTGTATTTGATGTAAAAAAAAACATCAACAACCTTGTCGATCACCTTGCCGATTTTCCCACAGCAATTATCAATGTCCAGAATCCCCAAATACAATATTGACCAATAAAGAATTCAGCTTTTGCTTGGAGAGAACCTTTGTAATAATTGAACTCCCCTCAGTCAAAGCTATGAAAAGCAGGACATGTGCCATATCATTAGGATGTAATATGATGTAGAATAATAACGTGGAATGCATATAATCATATTTTTGAAAAAACATGGAAATAGTGCCATATTCTCATAGACACGCAGTAACACATACCCATAAATGGGTATTTGAGGCCTTGCAGCCGTCAGTTGTGAACTACTGTATAATATATTCTGCAGGTATTAGATGTTGCTGTGTATTATTTAAGACAGCTTGATGTCCCTTTCAGCCCACCCAGGCTACAGAGCAGTGTTACCACACGTACGAATTTCTATGCAGTTGACAGCCTATAATTTACAGGATTACCTACAAAATTGGTTTGTTTTGAACATTTCATCGGGATATGCCATATTTCAAACAGTTTCAGTCTGGTCACATGTAGGTATTTATATGTTTGAGTCATATGACACTGTAGTCTCTAGCTCACAGACCTGTCACCTGGCGAAGAAAATGCAGGTGTCTAATTTTAAATGAAAGGCCAGTTACAGTGAAATGAGAACAGAGTCTCACGCTTTTCTTTGTGCCCTTTTCAAAGGAAGTGATGTGACATGTTTAAACCTAACTCAGGTGTGAGATGGTGTCCTTTGGAAAAGTCTAACTTGATGCTGTACTTATGTGCTGAAGTCTCAGTTGCTTTAATTCAGTCCTGTATTTATTGTTTGAGGCATACAGAGGTCTTTAGCTTCCACCTAACTTACATATTCGGTAACTTGCTGTAGTTATGTCACCACCTCCTCATCATTAGTCTAAGTATAATGCATGCCCCAAAACCTCTCCATGTCTCTAACACTGGTTCCTCTTTCTTTTGTGTCTCCACCCATCAAACCGTTTTGCATGAAACTGTGTCTGCTGTGACTGATGATCCCAGGGCTTAAAAGGACAAGCAGGGGAGAAGGTAAGTTTGGGACGATGTGACATTAACACTAACATTAACATTAAAACGTTGCCATTTAGCACCCGTCATGACAAAGGTTATCCTATAAATTATGGCTCTAATTTGCAGTCCTTTCTTACTTTGAAACCAATAATAGAACAGGGGAATATATATCAGATTGCTCATTTGCGACATTGATAACAATGTGACACAATGGTGGTTAGAAATACAGAGCTATGCACTGTAGGGAGTATGTGATTTATATCGAGGTCTGGATTTTCAAATAGCATGATAGTCAGATTCTATAATCAGTTTCCCACCCTGGTTGGATTACCCAAAGTCTTTACACAATGACACAATAGTAACAATTTGTCACTTAAGTGTCTTAAAGTTCAAATTTAAGACTCCTCAAAGATAGCAGAGAAAGGTTTATAGAGGCCATAGCAGTCTGGACTTTTCAATGATACGGTTAAATGAATATACAGGGTTTATCTGGTATATCAATGAGTTATAAACAGGGATGTGTTTTTCTGGTGTGTTGCACAACCATCCTATATAAGTTACCATTATTATAAGCTGCCAGTTGGGAGAAAAAAAATGCATATTAGCCTAAGTTGGAAATGACATTTTAGACAAATTTGTGACTGATTTTGACTGTAGCCAAAAGAAGTTTGAGCCTCAGCTTAACTTTTGGCAGAACAGAAATAACAACCCAATGCACTGACATTGCTGGCTTATGGAATTGTTCCATAAATATTGGGCTCAAATTATCAACTTGTTTACTTTTATTTCCTGGCCTCGAACTCATTGAAATAATGCAATCAGGTTTTCTACCATATATGGTTAGTCTCTTAGGGTATTGGATGGCTGTAGATCATCTCGATATGATGAAAGCATCTTTCCCATTAAGAGGAGGAGTGAAGCAGAAACAAAGGAAATAAATGAAGACAAACCTTTTCCAGGATACTGCGATCTTCAAACCAGTGGTTTCTGTGAGTTTATTGGGATGTGTTTTGGGGAAGAGACTGGTAAAGCCAGATTTAGAGAAAATACAGAAAGCATATGATTGACTGGTTTTGCAAATGAACCACAGCAGATGAACATGAGATAATTGCATGCAAAAAGAAACCAGATCTACAACCTGGTTGTGTTCCGCAAAATAGGCATGATTTTATGTGCGTTGCTTTGACCACTTGCAATCAAAGTTATTCAATCTCTCCATGCGTGCGTATGTATGTGTATGTAAATAGTCCTTCAGATGACAGGAACCCAGTACGTTTTGGCCCCTTACTGATATATTTGAAAACAAAACTAGATTGAGAAAACACATTTTTGGCCTCCTAAAGTGGACATTTGTACAGGAATATTTATAATTATGTCTGTCTTTGATGGATGACCATCAGATATATCCATGTGAGTGTTTCCCTTCAGGAGGACAGAAGCTAATAAGAAAAAGTGCTGGAAACCTGAGTTGGCCAGTGTGGTCTCAGTGGTTTGTGGGAATTGCAGGGTGGGGTCAGGGGAGCTGCTTAGACCAACGCTTTTTTAGTGCAAATCAACTATTCTGGGCAAAATCCAAAGCCAAGAGGCATTTAAGTTTGTACAGCAGCAATGGAAACCTTTTTAGTCACATTGTCCAGTTATGAGGTGTGATACTAAAATTAGTTGGTCTTAAATAAATAAATGATTGTCAATCTTAATAGTTGAGCCATGATCTATGAAACATTTAAAAAGCCATCCAAAATTGCAGAAGATAGAACTGCTGCAATGTGAGATTTTTGCTTGCACTGCAAATGCTAGTTGCTTAACTTTGACATGAGTTGATGTGGTATTTGATCAATAGCAGATAGTCAAGGGAGGTTTATTAGCTTTGCTACATGTAAGGAGTTGATATAAATACGTCTCTGGGAAAATAACCAAGTCAGTTATCGTGAAGAGCCATTGGGATGGAATAGCCTGATAATTTGCTGGCTAGCATGTTAGCAGTTTGCTAGCTAAAGCAGCTTACCGCCTAAACTTTCAACTTCACTAAGGAACTTTCTAATGGGAAGAGAGCTTTTCAGTTTGATGGATGTTCACCACAGTTGTCTCATACGACACAGTAAATCTTTGGGCGGATGCTTGTTGTTGGATTGCCTTCCGCTGAAGCTATTTACTTTTTGATGTGCTGAATAATATATTTCTTCTACTTCTCAGGGCGCAACAGGCGAGCCAGGTCTGTCTATCATTGGTCCAAGAGGACCTCCGGTAAGTGTCTTCACTTTTTTCTACACCTCATGAACTTCTAATGTTAAGTCAAATCAAGAACACGATTACAAATTAAGGTTCCTAAACACAGCAAAGTCCTTTAGCTCTGTTAATTAAACTAGATAATTGGAGAGTCCAACTAGGCACACGAATACTAGACAATTTTTAAATGGCCTAAAATGCCAAAGCCAAATTAAGTGGAGCACCCATCTGTTATTCTAATTCTCTTGGTGATTCTTAAATCTGCCTGTGCTCACTATTGCTAGATGCTTATAGGCACCACTAATGACTAACAGGCTGTGGAGAAAAGTCTGTTCAGTAGGAGCCAAGTTCCAAACTTAAGGGGCCTGTCTGTCAGAAACACTTAAAAGCTACTTTAGCACAGCGGGTGAGGTTGACATGAGAGTCTCCAGCCGTGACCTTAGACGGAAAGAGAGAGTTTATTGGACAAGGAGGTAAGGAAAATGAGGGGATCCAACAGCTGAGACAATCCTGGTGCATCGACTTATTCTCCCCATTTCATTAGGTTAGATGGAAGAGAGCAAAGATGTGTACTGTGTAAAGCTCATTTTAGTGATATGGATAGATACATATTTTATAGCACATGAACAAGGACTATTTAACTACACGAAGGAAGCTAATTCAAATGAATAACGAAGTTTTGAGTGTGATCATTTATTTGTTCAATTTAAAAAACTTCTGGAACGTTCAACTATATCTCTTTTATTTGCTTGAAAGTTCATTAGGGATCTGTTTCACTCTATCGATTTGCGGCACGGCGGTGTGGTGGTTAGCACTGTCGCCTCACAGCAAGAAGGTCCGGGGTGTGACTCTGCCTAGTGGCTCCCTCTCACTAACTGTAACGTTCAAACTAGGGGTGTAACGATGCATTCACTGAATCAATTAATCGATTTATATTCCTGCGATCCAACTGAATTGATCTGGGCTCCGCAAATCGGCATTCCGGACAACATATATCGATTACAAATCGATTGAAATGGTACATAATCGATTGTATTGATACTTGGAAACTGCACATTGGATTTAAGTACAAAAACGGTGTGGATGTGTGTTTGTTTGTTTGTTTTTTAGCACTTTAGACACGTTAAACGTTACTCGATTCAGTCTGCCTGTCTGTGACGTCATCAGTACGCAGCGGCAACCGTGCGAAACTCGGAACAACAACAAAACACAGCGTGGAGGAGACGTCTGCGAGCGAGACATTTACAAACCAACTTATCGATCCAGCGTGTGGAAACATATTGGCTTTTGCAAACACGGAGGTGTTCTAAATAAGTCGGTCGCTGTTTGTAGAATATGTAGAAGACAAATAAAAAACCACGGAAACACGACAAATCTTTCCGGCTATCCACTAAGGCGCCGTGGGATTAAACAACGCCGACAGTCAGACAAGTGTATCAAGCGTATTTAAGCGCAGTTTCCACATATGCACAAAAAAAGATGTTACATTAAAGACTAAAGTGTTTTTTTCTCAAACATGGCACGTCCTTTTCTGGACGATCATGTTGATGAAGAAGCGGTTTTACTTCGCATGGTGTTAAACACGTCGGGAGAGAATATTGACGCCCCGATTAGATATATTATCATTTCCACATAACTACTTGTTTGAACGGTATCGTTTTTCTACACAGTCCATCAAATATGTACATAACCTCACCCGTCCTCATATAACTAACGTCACTCATCGTGGACATGCACTCATACATACGAGCAGATTCTTTGTGTAGTGTATTACTTTTTTGCAAACTGCAGTTTCCTTTACAACATCAGTGATGCGGAGAATATTAGTAAAGCTACTGTATGCAGAGCCGTGAGAAACGTGTGCCTCGCTCTGAAACGTCTTTTAAAGTTTTTGTTCCCTGGACACAAACCAGTGAGAGACATTAAAGAGGAGTTCCACAGGCTGCACCTTAATAAAACACATTATAGTTTTTACCAGCAATATTATTCTAAATATGAGCATGGGTGTGTAGTGCATTCTAACGAACAGTGTAAAAAATGTTATTTTCACACGTAAAACGTATGAAAATAAAACGTATGGATTATGATTAGTGTGTACATTAAATATTAACTGACAACACTATATTGGAACTTTTCAATATAGTTACAACTATATTGGAGCAATTTTCTCCCACCCAGTTTCTCTGTCTTTTTCTGCAGTAGCAGTGTTGCTTTTTTTTTTTCTAATTACGGGTTCATACTTGTGCGCTTGAATTAATATTTCCAGCTCAATAGGGGTGAAGTATGCCGACCGATTGTTTGTGGTTGTTGCCATGGTAACTCGTAGTATCATGGTTCCATTCATGCTGCCTTCATACTGTGGTGGTGCACGCACTCAACTCAACCCACTCCGAGTTGAGTGAACCAACTCTAAACAGCTGTTCTGAAACCGAAACCTCAGAGTTTCCCCTCTCAGGGTAAATCAACTCAGAGTTGAGGGTTTGACTCAGAGTTTGTTAAACCTCCTACCTCCCATTTCTTCCAGTGCTGAGAGAATCAAGTCTTCAGAATCACTCTTTGCTGCAGTGAAAACGAACATTCATTTTGACAACAGAGGGAGAGAACTGCTGCCTCTTCCATTGATTGGCTTCCAGATGATTCTTTTTTAAATGACTTTCAGCTTGTTTTTCTATTTCTCCTCAGGGGCAACCTGGGACAAGAGGATTTCCAGGCTTTCCAGTAAGTCATGACTATGTGTCATGTTAATACTGTACATTATGATTTCATGACCGGTGAAGAAGCTGGATATTTAGACTTTATTTAATATTCCAAATACAGTAGACAGGAATGCCTCATAAATCATAAGTAGCACTGAAACAATCAAGAAAACTTAAGTTACAAAAAGTTCACATATCAATTGAATATGTAATGATTGAAGATTGTAAACTGAGAATTGAGGGTTAGATAATATGCTAATTAATGGTCAGTTTCTATCTGTAAATTTGAAGCCGCCAATGATACACCACCAATGACTATACTTCTTTATTACATTCTGGATTAGAAGAAATAAGAAAGAACTTATATATGTTTGTAAATTGTTAATGTAACAGGTTAATTAACAAACTCACATGGTTATCAGCGGGCGGCACGGTGGCGTGGTGGTTAGCACCGTTGCCTCACAGCAAGAAGGTCCTGGGTTCGATTCCACCCAGTGGCCTTTCTGTGTGGAGTCTGCATGTTCTCCCCGTGTCTACGTGGGTTCTCTCCGGGTTCTCCGGCTTCCTCCCACAGTCCAAAGACATGCTGTGGGGATCAGGTTAATTGGTGACTCTAGGTGACTCGTAGATGTGTGAATGTGAGTGTGAATGGTTGTGTCTCTCTGTGTAGCACTGCGATTGGCTGGCGACCAATCCAGGATGTACCCTGTCTATCGCCCGAAGTTGGCTGGGATGGACTCCAGCCCCCCCGCGACCCTGTGTGCAGGATAAGCGGTTTGACAATGGATGGATGGACATGGTTATCAGCAATCTTGTGTAGACTTTTAAGTAAATATTGTTAAAGAAAAGACAAAACAAGCCAGGGAATATCAGGGCCCTGTTCCTTGTATGTGGTTCAACTAAGTCGATCAAATGTCTGATTATCCAGCTCAAATTACCGAGATGATTGACATCAGGCTAACTCACATGGTTATCAGCAATCTTGTGTAGACATTTAAGTAAATATTGTTAAAGAAAAGACAAAACAAGCCAGGGAATATCAGGACCCTGTTCCTTGTATGTGGTTCAACTAAGTCGATCAAATGTCTGATTATCCAGCTCAAATTACCGAGATGATTGACATCAGGCTATCTCGGTTCCTCGAAGGCGGATCAGCGCTCAAATCATCTTGTTAGTTTGAACCAGATGTCAATTATCAAGATAATCGCACGTGCGCGTCGTACATTAGAAACTTAAAGAAATAGTCTTTTTTCGCTGACAAGCAGGAAATGATCATGAACACATATGAGGAGATACTATGTTAATTTGAATCATTTCTGTCGGATTAATTTAACGTATTTTACATATTTTACGTTGTTCATTCTGTACGTCCATCGCAGTCTCTCCGTCCCAGGGAGGATTGTCCTGTGTCTCTCTAAAGGTTTCTTCCCTATATTTTGCCCATCAAATGCTTTTTCATTGTTTGGGGAGTTTTTCCTGTGCCGATGTGAGGGTTTCTGGACAGAGGATGTCATATGTACAGACTGTAAAGACCTCTGAGGATAATTTGCGATATTCTGCCGTACAAAATAAAATAATCATATAATCATGGCAAAAACTGACACCGCGCCCCTGCGAGGCTACAAGCCTGTGCAGTGTGCACAGTAACGCACACTGCACACGACAGTGTGCGTTACTGTGTAAGTAACGCACACAAGTTCACGTTAAATGCGTGTTGGTAAAATTTATGGGCTCATTTAAGTGCCTCATCACTCTAATCAATCAGATTATATTTCTTTAAATGTTCCTGCTGGCATCATCATCATCCAATGAGAAATTGTTACTGTTGTTACTATGATACAAACGAATAGGATATATGTACTGTATCAGCTTATGTATCATATGTATGTGTAGATGACCATATAGAACTAGGAGTTTTATTATGTGTAAATGTGTATAGGAGAATCATTATATATCCATTGTTCATCATCAGACATTTGATCAATTTAAGCAGTGAAATGTGGAACAAGTTTATTAAGCGACAAATAAACCAACAGAACTTTACGAAGAGCACGACATACAGCGGCTTTCCAGATGTTCTGTGCATCGCAACACCGTACAGACATGGACAGTATGAGAGACAGTGTGTCAGACACTGTGTGAGACATGAGAGAGTATGTGAGACAGTCTGTGGGACAGTAGATGTTCGGCTGCAGCGTGTGGTGTTCATCACGTAACGTAACGGGGAAATCTTGTAAATAAATGATTCCTTGTCCTCAGCCTTGTAACGCTCGTGCAGGACGGGTTAAGGGTTCTTTGTGATTTCGGAGAAATCTCTCAATATAAAACGTTAATCTAACTGATGTCGCTCCTTTATCAATGAGGAAGTTAGCTGCTCTATTTTTCCGGGGGAGTGATGAACTAATCAAGCAGCTCAGATGAACCTGCGCCGGAGGAGATTCAAGTTTTTTGATGTGTTGCTGTGGCGATTTAGACAAACCTGCTTCGGGGAACCGAAAAGCCTGATCTACGTCATGTTATCCTGAAAATGATCCAGCTAACTAAGTTAGCCACGTACGAGGAACAGGGCCCGGGTATGAATTGGCCTCTGACCAAAGGCAGAATGTTTGTAAATGTCAATACTATTTTTAAATATGTAGCATTGCATTCAATATGTTGCACAGAGAGGTCATTTTGAAGTTATTTTATGGTCACTAAAAAATAAATTATAATAATAATAAACTGAAGTGGAAAAAGTAGGTAATGTTTACTTATTTTAAAAAGAAAAACATATTTTATATATATTGTATACCATTATGCAATAAATTCCAAACAAAGAAGGTACAACTCGTTTTGGAATGTGGTGCGTTGCGGCGGCCCTTCAATGTTCCTACATCATCAAAGGGGCCTCGACAGAAAAAGTTTGGGAACTACTGATCTATACTGACACCACCGTTGCGATCTAATTTAACTGCTATAGTGCATATTAACACCTTTCCAACTGATTCTGTATTGGGAACACTGATACAGTAATTTGTCGTGCAATCTCCTGTATGTACTAAAACTTATTTTCTTATCCTAGGGTCCAATTGGGTTGGATGGCAAGTCTGTGAGTTTTCCCAAGTTCTGGTCAAAAAGTGAAATAATTGAGTGCCCAGAAGCATTCAGCGATGATGATGAGCTTGTGATGAGAGTGTTAACTGTTATTATTGGACGTGGTTAAACATGCTATAAATATTTCTTAACTTTCTCAACTTGAAGTCAAGTGGCGGTATGTGTTAGGATAGTTTCAGTTACTCTACTAGCTGCACTCACTGCTTTGATGTTCACACAGGGACAGAATGGACTGAAGGGAGACATGGTAAGGAGTCCTTAAATTGTTCATAAACATAGTTTCAGTATAATTCCATCCCCACCAATTATCTGAACCCATAACATTTTTAGCACGTTGCATGGAATTTACACCAAGAAGCCAAAACAAATATGAAATTATTTATAAATTATTTATAGCCAGTGACGGGCTAACAGTGAGTTGCATGCAGTAGGGAAAGGCCATGTCAGGAAGTATTAAAAAGGGCTTTGATGGCTGGCCTAGTATATGTATAGAGATGTTGTTACCTTCACAAAATGGCTTTGGAGCTGCTGTGTGGGATGAGCAGCGTGGGGTGAAGGGAATGTGTCCTACGGGGCCATCTCCTGGAGTTCATAAATCAACCAGTCCCTGTGCTCTGACAGCTACTTACACTGGGCACACCCCAGGACCAGCAAACTGAGTGCCTTCAATCACAAAAAGTAATTGAAATGCTCCTGTAATGGCTTATTCATCAGTATTAATGATTCCTCAATATTCTTACTCCATTCAATCATGTTCATTGGAGCTATTTGTTGTGAAGCTGCAAATCTCAGCCTTACAACCAACTACGCTGCTGTTGTCTTTCAGGGCCAGCGTGGTGTCAAAGGACATCTCAATTATGATCTCATTCCGCAGATAATAACCTCCTGAATGCTTAACCACTCACTTATTTTTTCTTTTCCAGGGGGATCCTGGACCCAAAGGGGAGAAGGTGAGACGTGGTTTTCTATATTTTGCGGACTTGGCCAAGTAACACTTCTTATAGTTTACCAGCCGGCAGTAGTGGTAGAACAATTTGATTGTTTATTTTCTGTACTGCAACTCTGCTCCGCTGATTAGCATTGCACGCCCATAAAGTAGTGGGGATTTTAAAGGAGGAATTATATGAAAAGCTCAACTGAAACCGCAGTGCTGACTTTTGACCATAGTACAGTATATGCCAAGCTCACTATGTCCTAAAGTAAAAAAGATGATGATGAACACCTCATTTTGCATTGCCTTCAGTATATAAAACAGAAACTTTATGACATAATTCTCTAAGATTAAGTAGTCATGTTTTTCTGATGAAACTTCTTTTTCTGTTTTCTTCAGGGCGTATGTGGAGACTACACACACCGGGTATGAAAAAGTTAAAGTGGAACAAAAAACAGTGTTTATGCTAAGAATAATCAAGAGTTAATGTTAATATTACGACTAGTGTTGAGCAAGTTAACGCGTTGTTATTGCATTAATGAAATAATTAACACCAACAATTATGTCATTATGTTAAGTATTATTTTTAAAGATCGTTGCTCACTGGCTGTGAATACACACATACAAAAGCCATAGGCCATAGGAATAGGGATGTTGATCAGAATTGGCTGGGAGAGGCATGATCATGTGTCTTAACCAGTAAGAGCAGTTGAAGGTCCAACCGCTCCCATGAACCAATTGGCGGTTACATAAAAATAGAGAGGTTGACAGAACCAAAGATCTCAACAACCTGCATCACTGAACGTGTGTTTTTCATTTTTTTTGCTGAGATTTTTACTGAGATTCTCAGTATCTCAAGGAAAATCCAGTACAAACAGTGAATCCCTACTGAGTACTGAGTAACAGTACTGTTTTTGTGTTGTATTTTGTGCATATTTGTGTTATGCTTAACAGCAGCCCTGCTGTTGAGAGAATATTTCAATATTCTGGGAAATATTTACTTTTTTCAGTGCCAGAGGATTGATGTCAAGCTCACGCTTGTTCTGTTCAAATTGAAAAGATAACCAATCTGTCTCTTTTGTTATTTCATTCAGTAAGATAGATGTAAATAACGATGGTGTGGTTTTGGGGGTAATTATGTTTAGTCATCAGATAAGCCATAATATACCTGTGTAGATGTAATTAAAATAAGTATTTATGGTTAACCACAGATCCAGCTATGTACTTACACAAGGACGGTACATGGTTAATATCTGTATCTATCTGAACAGCCAACTCTATGAGAGCAGGACTCTTCTTTTAGCCCTTGTATGGTGTTCATTTTGTTGTTACTCAGCCGGTGGTCTAGTCTGTTGGACATGATGTACTTTGAGGGTTTTATTCTCATTGTTTTTCCTCACCGTTCCCACCTTTTGTCAGACCTGTCCCAGCTTGTAAGAAATTGTTGCACGTAATTTTGTGTCCACTTAGTCTCTGAGCAATGTCCAAGACAGCGCTCATCCCATGACTTTTTTCAGGGTGTCCTCCATCAGGTTTCCCAGTGTAGACTTTTAAGACTGAAGGTACACAGGATGTACAATTTCCACACTTCAATTTGCATTTATTTTGTAAAGCCAAAAATTACACGGATTACAGATGTATGTTCTTTGCAGAAAATGAGCCACGGCCAATAAGTCTGTAAAAATTAATGAATCGTAACTTTTGTTTTGATAAAAAACAAAAACAGGTCCCAGAGACCAACACCGTACAAAGGTTAAACTGAAATCATCTAGAATTGAGGCTTCACGAGACAAGCCACCATTACCAGGTCTGACTGAAATGACCACTTCCCTGGTGTGTAGGGTCTCTTTGTGCAGGATCTCCCTCTGAAAACCCTGGCTGCCTTGCGCTCCAGTCAGGCTCTGATGTTGAAGGTTTGTGGGTGCCAACACCCAGATAGATATTTCAAAGCAGGATGTCACCAAGTCGAGCCACAAAGAGAGCCGTCGCTGTAGTGAGCCAAGGCACCCCTCCGCCCTCTGCTATCCACCCAAAAGATAGAAAAAGATACATCCGATGACAAAGTCACTACTGGTTGGGTTCAACAACTTCACTTCAAGTCACCTTTAAAAAAAAGATATCCATTCAAACGCTGAATGAGATTAATTAATGCATGCATAATATCCCATTAGCATCTGTTTAAATTGTTACAATAATTAAGTTTGCATGTGCATACTGCTGAAGAACAGTGGGCCAATATACAAGTTATAAAGTTTAGCAAATGATTTGCCTTTTGCAAATTAGTCAACAGTTATGGCGATGCTTTTGAGGTCACAATTAACACAAAAATATACAATACAAAAATCCATACAATTTGTATTTCCACTTTTTACATAGACATCTAAGACCATTTGACAGTATAATATGATATTTAATTAGTTAGTATTGGCAGCTCGGGACTTCTACAGATTCAAACCATTAGTGGTGGATAGCTGGAAATGGTGTGGGTCAAAGCAGCGCACTTGCCTACTTATTACATTCATACCCCTACTTATATCTACTCATAATATTCTGTATATATTTCCATAGAAATAGTACTATTGCTTTTTTTTACTGTTAACTGGAAAATAAGTATGTTTCAAGACTGAATTACCTGTAGAAATATGTTACCTATATGTAAATATGTAAACTAGTAAAGAGTAGGGAATGCTTATTTTGGGGTTTCAGATTTGGGGTAGCTTTGCTTTAAAAGCTGCTCCATTATGAAAAATGTGGAAATATGTACGCTATGTAAAGAGTAGGCAAGTAGCTTGCAGCTGGTTCTACCTCAGGTCAGTGGGGAAATGTAAAACGTACGTTAACCGTCCTGTCCTGAACTGTATCTGATCCTGCTGGTCATCTCAACAGAAGCGGCGTATTGTACAGCCTTGTGTTGGACAAATGGCCACAGTAAGTCTGGATGTGCAATGTAACTGTACTGCTCTGCTCTCTTTGTGGCAAGGCTGGCGCCCAACTCTGCTCCGCTGCAATCTAGGGGCCTGGCTCAATGTTAATGGGGACATTGATGCATATAGACTCTGAACGGGGGATGCTTCACAATTTGTAACCAACAGACTGTCAGGGATTTTAGATTTTGAACACAGTAAACTTGTTTTCTATTGAAACCAAGAACCATCACAGTACGTCAACCATCCCCTTTTTCACTCCAAGCCCATAGTTTGCTGTGCTGGTGCCTTTGTTGTCTTTCCTTTCTACAGCCTTGTTTCCCTTTTTCTCTCATTTCATCCTGTTTCCTTTCCCCCGATTTCCTTGCATTTTACTCTGATATTCTATTTCTTTTTTTCTTCCATATGCCTCCCTCATCTTTCCTCCTGGTTCTACCCTGTTTCTTTTCTCTGGCTCCTGGTGACCTTTGCCCTGTGACCTTTTTGCACCGCTGGCCACCTGTGCTTTGTGACTCCCTCGGCAGATGTTGCCCATCACCGTACGCAACATGCCCTCAATAAGCCCTCTAATCCTAAAACGCCTCAAGGTACAATTCTCTCTGCCCCCCTACCTCCTCATGCTCACCCTGTGGATGCCGACCGCATCATCCGTCGCCAAAACTTTTCCCAACCCTCCTTCGCTGTTATGCTGTAATTAACCAACTTTTGGCTGCTACCGCTTCTAAATATTCAAAGCCCCTTCTTTCAATGATGCGTTGAGTATATGAAGCAAAAATTATGCACTGCTGTAGTTTCAGGCAAACTGCAAATTTTCATTTTTTTCATTAATTTTTTCTTCACCTTAGATAAAAATGATGGTAGTTGAAACTATGTATTGGGATATTAAGTAGAGGTAGCGAATGGCAACAAATATGAGTACATGCAAAATAGATTAAACAAGTAGTGTTCACCTATAAAATAAAAGACAACATTTAATGTTGATTTAGCCCTCACCACTATCTTTCCCTAACCTTAAAGTTACTTAGTTTTCCCTAAAATAGTCCTTCATTAGCAAAAAAATGTTATATCTACCAAAATGCAACTGGTTGGCATTTACAGTACCTTTAAAATAAATTAATAAAACATGTAATAAGAAATACAAAAATGTACAAAAACTGTGAATAGTTTGCTTGGTTTAATGAAATAATACTGATAATAATTTATGCAGCATTATGTCTAGCAGGGATAAATGTAGCCATATTAGTGGTAAAGAACATTGATATTGATGATTTCCCTTAATCCGAGTGCATATTTTTCTACAATAACTATGCATGGAAACTTAGGGCAAGATTGTGGTTATGGCAAATAAATTACGCTGAAGGTCTTGGGTACTGTTAAAAAATTGCTGCCCGGTGGTTTATTTTAAAGACCAAGATGGTCTAAAAACCTAAACACGGTTAATGTTGCCTCCCCTCCAATGATAAATCATATCTTAGCCAATCAGTATTCACCAGCCAACAGAACAGGGTTTCCATTTAAATAAAAATATAATCATAGCAGTTGTTTTCCATTTAGAATATTCCTTTATTGTGGAAAATCGTGCAGAGCAGCACATTGGCTGCAGCATTCCAATTAAAGTGTGTGTGTAACACCTGAGAACATTTATTTGATTCGCTTTCAGCTTGGCTTTGGTTTGGTTAAGCCAATTCCCAGGGTTGTCACTGTCCAGTGAATAAACACAGATTATCAGTGTTGTTCAAAGAAGCCGCAGAAAGGATCAATCTCAAGATGACGTCCATTCATTAAAAGGTTACCAATTGGATTTTCAAGCTAAGCCTATAAACGCCGGAGTACATTTGGCTTCAGTGTCACACATTTTCAATTGCATGCTCTCTAATCAAAAGCCGTTTCCAAAAAGAGAACACCCTGTACTTACTCCTTTTGGAACTTTTAAACTCCAAAAACTTTGTTACATAATGAAGCCTGCTCAAGTAGCACCCTTCGGTAACGTGATATGTTCAATAATAACGCCCGCCTCTCTTCACATTCTGGCCTCTTATGTGGATGTCATCCTTGATATTTCTATGTCAGTTTGAGATATAGTCAGCCTTCAACTACTCATAACGAGAAGCTCAGAGCAACTAATAAAGACTAGAAAGAGTGAGAAAGTTGATTAATGGCCATTGAGAGGGAAGGTTCAGTGACAACTACAAAACAGGACTTTCACACAGAAGACGCTGCTCCATTTCAATGTTGAAACAACTTATTTTACAGAAAATATATAATACAGCAAATATAGAACTTTGAGTAACAAACACTACTTGTTTTTGTGTCTCATGCAAAAACCAAACCAAAGGGTTTTGTTGCTTGAAATTCCTTTAAGACAAAAGTTTCTTTTGAAGAGACACATTACATGTAAGGTGTGGAAACTTGACAGGTGATCCCTGCCATGTCCAAAATGATGCTAGACCCAATAAAAATATGATTTGTCATAGTATAAATGCCAATGACCAAGCATTAGTAACAGACAAGTTGGGAGTTAGAAAAGGTGCTTTTCCATTTCCCTGAGTGCATGCTTGGTAAGGGTCTGTCAGATCAGTATCATCATCCAGGGAGGTCAAAGTCATTGACAAGGAGTCAGTAAAACAAATTTCTGCCCTGAGCTGAGATTAAAGTATTAATCTCTGATTAAGCTGATTACGTCCCGACACCTGATGCTCTTTTCAGTAAAGACCATCGAAGAAGCCCCGAAAAAATATTTCATCCAACATTCTCATTACAAAGGTGAAGAATGAATCGTCATGCTCAAGCATTACAGTATAAAAGCTTGCTTTGCTCCCCAGCTAACCTTCCTATCAGAAACCCCCGTCTGTAATTATTTGTGGTGTTTTGTGTTGTTGTTTTGTGGTAATGGCCAGTATAGTGAGGCATGCTCTTGGATGACAGATTGTAACTCCAGGTCTCCTAGCAGGGTGAGCAGGGACCCCCGGGACCTCCAGGACCGCCAGGACTCCCAGGGACCCCGGGCATTAATGGAGCTAGTGGCCCAGTGGTGAGTCCAAGTCTGATTCCAAACAGAATTTCCAATTTCGCTCTTTGCAATAGTTAAATAGCCAACTTACACAATTATTGAACAGAGACCCCCAAAGCTATGCAAACTGATGTTATCCATACTTTTAATGCATGCTTCTTTGGCAGAAGCTTTGAACCTCGATGGTAAGTGGTAAATGTACTGTACTTACGGTATATGCAGTTGTTCTAGTCTTGATACTGCTCAAAGAAATCCAACACAACATTTCCTCATTGAACCATTCAATTAAATTTATTTTGTATAGCCCAAAGTCTGACGGCTTTATAGTCTGTTTACATGCACCATCCTCTGTTTCGAAACCCTCACATCAGCACAAACTCCCCCTACGAAGAATAAACCCTTAAAGAAAAAAGGAGGAAACCTGTGAAAGAACGACAGAGACAGAGGAGGATCCCTCTATCAGGATGGACAGAATGCAATGGATGTCATGTGTACAGAATAAATCTCTAAGTTGTTCATTCTGTATACATAACATCCATTGCATTCGGTCAGTGCATATGACAGAGATGATTCAAATATGAGAGTAGTAAGCCTCATAATGTTTTAAAATAACTACCAATAATAACAGCTGTACTGGACGTAGTACATTACATTTGACATTACATTACATTACAGGTCATTTAGCTAACGCTTTTATCCAAAGCGACTTACATTACAGTAGTATTACGTAGTAGACTGTCATGATCAATGGAATCCTGTAAGGAGAGAAAACACCTTTGTACACTGATGATAGGAGCTACCAAACACAGTTGGGATTGAGACCAGGCTGAACAGTATCTCTAAACCTCGCAAAAACATGAATTGTATAATGTCAATGTGCCTTTACCAATTTTATCATCCATCCTACGTGACATGAACACAGTATTTAGGATTTTTTAATCTGCGTAGCCCCCATGTCTATAGGTCATAAAAACCGATAACCCCCAGGACTTGCTGAGACCACGACCAAAATCCCCATACCCACACAAACCCCACCCGTCCCGGATTTGCAGTTTTTACTTTTACAATTTTGTTTCTTCACGATAGGTCAAATTAAAAAAGTACTTTCAACCATGAGACATAAGTCAAACACTGAAAGTGTTGTAGTGGTTTTGTTGCTTAGGCTTAAATTTTCTAGCGTAGTAAAACACAAGTTGTTCCAAGACACCTACTCTGCACATGTGAGACTGTGCTGGACAAGCTTATTTGCAAATTCAAATAACAGCATTAAACTGGTATGGTTGATTGTCTCGTAGATTCTGTGTAAAGGGTTTGTGCTTTTTTCATACAGGGTAAGCCTGGTGAACCAGGCAAACCAGGAAAAGACCCACGGGTAAGCTTTGGTTCATTATGTCCTCCACCTTTATTGTTCCAGGATCTTCTCATTAGTTAAAGTTTGATGGTGTGACATTAACTTTCTTGTGATTTCTACATTGTTTCTGCAGCTTCTACCGGGACTGAAGGTAAACATTTTCTTCCTCTTCATCACCAAAATAAAAACTCTAGACAACTTCATTGGTATCACTTTAACCTCTGTTAATTACTTTTAGTTATAAACAAAATGCAGTTCCAAGTACTATGAGGCCCAAATAAATCCATGATACAGGGATTAAGTGAAAATGTTTGCATCCCTGCAGACCACCCCCACCTACACAACAGAAGCTGTACACGTCCCTACTCTTTTTGGGGATTTCCAGGCCTGGATATTTTCTTTTAATGCATGCACTGTTTTATTTCTATAGGGGGAGCAAGGTGTGCCGGGACAAAAGGTGAGCTATTTCGTGTTTCTCTTTAGAAAAAATAATTTGGAAAGTGGAATCCAGGATGTGCTTGTTTTGGCTAGGAAATGATAATTTCAGTACACAATCTGTCAATACTTAATCCGTGAGCATCTTCCAGTGAGTATAAGATGTGTTTTCCACAAAAGACAAGACGTAACCGTCTATTCCCCTCTGTTACTGTGGACTGTTTCACGTATCTCTGCAAGGATAAATGCAGTGCTTGCTGACAACTTTCAGTGAATCCGTTTAACGTTATATTATATTTGCCCTTCTGTCCCTACATAGGGGGATCAAGGTGATGTTGGCCCACTAGGTCCTCAGGGCCCAAAGGTATTCCGCCGGTTTTCCTAACATTTCAACTGTTATATTTAGTTTTTCGCACCAAATTCAGTATCAAATGTTTGATATTAAACTTCAAGCAAAGCTCAGGTTTTTGTTAGATCTACCCTTACATTTAAGGCAAGGCAATTTTATTTGTATAGCGCTTTTCATACACAAGGCAGACTCAAAGTGCTTCACATCATAACATTTCATACAATAAAGTGAAATAAAATGCAGGAATTAAAAGACAATTAAAAACAGCAAATAAAATTATAAATTAAAATCTTATTTAAATTGTTTAATTAAAGGCAGAGGTTAAAAGTGCAATGTAGGTAAAATTTAGCAGAAAGCGAAGCTGAACATAAAAGTTTTCAGTCTTGTTTTAAACGTGGTCAGAGTTGGGGCAAGTCTTAAATCTTCAGGAAGTTTATTCCAGCTGTTTGTTGCGTAGTAACTAAATGATGCGTTCCCATGATTTGTATTTACTCTGGGAATCACTAACAGATTGATGTCAGAAGATCTTAGTGATCTTGAAGGCTTATGTAGTGGAAGCATATCAGTGATATACTTTGGCCCTAAACCATGTAGTGATTTATATGTGAGCAGTAGGATTTTGAAATTAATTCTCTGACATACTGGAAGCCAATGTAAGGATTTAAGAATTGGTGTAATGTGCTCACATTTTTTGGTCTTTGTTAAAACTCTAGCAGCAGCCTTCTGAACAAGCTGGAGCTGCCTGACAGTTTTTTTTGGGAGACCTGCAAGGAGACCATTACAATAGTCTAGCCTACTAGTTATAAAGGCATGTACAAGTGTTTCTAAGTCTTGAGCTGACATGAGCCCTCTAAGTCGTGCTACATTTTTGAGGTGGTAGTAGGCCGATTTTGTTACTGATTTGATGTGACTCTCCAAGTGTAAATCTGAATCCATAATAACCCCCAGATTTCTGGCTTTATTTGATGTTTTCAGGGACAGAGAGTGTTGGGTTACTTTAAACCTTTCTTTTTTAGCACCAAATACAATGATCTCAGTTTTGTCTTTGTCATTTAGTTGTAGGAAATTTTGACACATCCAGTCTTTGATTTGCTCAATGCACTGGCACAGGAGATCTATGGGGTGATAGCGCTACATAGATTTGGGTGTCATCAGCGTAGCAATGGTGGTCAATTTTATTTTTTTGCATGATTTGTCCTAGTGGGAGCATGTAGATGTTGAATAAAGTCGGCCCTAAGATCGAACCTTGGGGAACTCCACACGTTACGTCGGTTGTTTCTGATACGAAGTCACCAATGGAAACAAAATAGTTCCTGTCTTGTAGATATGACCTGAACCAGCTTAAGACTGTGCCTGAGAGCCCCACCCAGTTTGCCAACCTGTCCAAAAGTATTGAGTGGTCGACAGTATCAAATGCAGCACTGAGGTCTAATAGCATTAATATTGAAGTTTTGCCAGAGTCTGTGTTAAGACGGATGTCGTTTACAACTTTAAGTTCCGTCTCGGTGCTATGAAGAGGTCAAAATCCTGACTAGAAATTGTCGTGGCAGCCAGTTGAAGCCAGGAAGTGATTAAGTTGTTGTAGGACAACTTTCTCAATTATTTTACTTATGAAAGGTAGATTTGAAATTGGTCTGTAGTTGTTGATAATAGAGGCATCTAGGCGCCGCTTTTTTAGGAGAGGTTTAATAACTGCAGTTTTGAAAGCTTTTGGGAAATGGCCTGTCTGAATAGAGTTATTAACTATTTGCAATACGTCTGTTGCTAGGCAGTTAAAAACATTCTTAAACAGGGGTCTCAAACTCGCGGCCCGCGGGCCAATTGCGGCCCTCGGGACGATATTTTGTGGCCCCATCCTTAATATGAAAGTGTAATGTTAGTGCGGCCCGCAAGTTTTATACTGTAACCCCACTGTCAGCTGCTGTGTGGGACATGTTATGATGTTCTGGTTTCCTACTGTGTGCTTGTCCAGTGAACGTGGCATGCATGTGACTGACATGGGGGGCGGGTCGTGTGTGTCGGCCGAGGTGCAGAGAGCAGGAGGGTGAAATTCAGTTTCCTGCCCTCTTTCGCGCAGGTGATCATGTGACTAACCGTTAGCATCGCTCGTTTAATAAAGTTTTCCTTTACGACTCACACTAACAACACATGAAGCATCTGACGTCACCGACGAGCGTCTCCGTCCATTACTACGCAGCTTCGATTCACGTAACTTCACGTTTGGCTATAAAGGAATTCCACGGTCACATGACCTTAGGTCTCCCCCGCTGAGTTAAAGGAGGACTAGTGTTGTAGTCTCATTCGGACCGATCCCCCAGGGTGGGGTTCAATGACTGCTTTTGAAAGTGAGTGTTAAGTTGTGTTATTGTCGACCATGCCGTTGGGACGCTAGTCTGGCCCGCGTTCGGTTGAAGTGGGCTGCATCTGGCCCGCAGCTGATTTGAGTTTGAGACCCCTGTTCTTAAAGAAGTTGGTAGGTAGAGCATCAAAACAGCGGGTGGATGGTTTTAAATTTGTCACCGTGTCCACTAGGGTTTGAGAGTCTATGGCATTAAAGCTTGTCATCATTGCTGTGTTACTTTTGCCTAAATAGGGTGGTGATCCAACATTTTTGTTGGAGATATTAATGGTCTGATGCCTTCAATTTTATCAGTATAAAAGAACGCAAACTCATTGTATTTCTGTGTGGAATGGAGTTCAGGTGGTATTTGTGTTGGGGGGTTGGTCAGTCTGTCAACAGTTTCAAATAGGGTTTTTGCCTTATTAGTGTTGTTGTTAATGATGTTGGAGAAGAATGTTTCCCTAGCACTTTTTAAGTCTAAATTGTAGGCCCGGAGGCGCTCTTTATAGATGTCATGGTGAATATGAAGTTTTGTATTCCGCCAGATTTGTTCAGCCTTCCTGCACTCTCTTCTCTGGGCAGCTTTTCTCCAGGGTGCCTTTTGCTTACTAGAACTGGTTTTAACCGTAACAGGTGCAATGTCATCTATAACATCAAAATTTTGGAATGAAAGTTGTTTACAAGATTATCAGCATGACATGGGATTAGAGGTGGTAACGAGGAGATGACATTTTTAAAGAGTACATTAGTATGTTCATTGATGTACCGTTTTTTGACAGTATTTGATTTTGATTGTGTGTCAGGAATGAAAGAAATATTAAAGAAAACACAGAAGTGGTCAGACAATGAGGGATCAGTCACAAAAACATCCGAAACAATGAGACCTTTTGTGATAATCAGGTCCAGGGTGTGTCCCTTACAATGAGTAGCCTCTTTCACATGTTGAGACAGTTCAAATGTGTCTAAAATAGTCAAAAGTTCTTTTGCACCCTTGTCATTCAAATCGTCAGTATGAAAATTAAAGTCACCAGTTATAACTAGACAGTCAAAGTCGGTAGAGATGCTAGACAATAATTCAGTAAAATCATCGAAAAAATGTGCAGAATATTTAGGTGGCCTGTAAATAATTAACAGGAGAGCTCTGGGAGAACCTTTCAATACAACACAAAGATAAATGATGGAAAATTACTAAGTGATCTGTTTCCCCTGAAATATATTTTTAAATATAGCAGCAACCCCTCCACCTCTTTTTCCAGATCTACATAATCAATAAAGTTATAGTTGGGGGGTGCTGCCTCAATCAGAATGCTTGCACTGTTATTTTGTTCTAGCCATGTTTCAGTTAAAAACATAAAATCAAGTTTAGAAGTGGTAATAAAATCATTGACTAAAAACGATTTGTTATTAAGAGACCTAACATTAAGCAGAGCCATCCTGATGGTGTTATTCACAGGCTTTGGGGTTGACTTTGAGCTGGAGAGAATAGGAATGAGATTTGTTAGATTAGCAGTGTGTCTAATTTTCGCATTCACATCTCCTATGTACACTAGAAGGGTTTATGGGTCATGGTTATTATTTCTCTTTTCCATTATTTTCTATAGTGGCCTTGAAGGGATTGTTTATGTAGCAAATAATACTGTAATGGTCTTTTTACACAAGTAATAACACAACATGCATTTCTTTCTGATGGAAAACCGGTGAAATTGTTTAGACTGCTTTCCCTTTGCCAGTAGAAAAGTTGCCTTTTAGTTTATTTCCTAGTGTTTCATGTTCAACGTCACAGTAAAAAAAGAGCATCAATAGTGGAAGCTGCAAATCAAAAAGGTTGGACATCCTCTTTTTATAAGAAACTCATACCATTCGATCAGATGAGTTAGACTGGGGTTTATGGCGGAAGGGCTCATGCACCATAAGCCACGGCACCAATCTCAGTTGTGGAGTAGCCGTGTTGTTTTGAACAGCAGCTAATGCAACAGTTATTTCTGTCACCGAGGTGGTGAAGGGCCGTTTGCTTATAGTAAGGGCAGAGAAAAAGGGCTCTGTCTAATGCTTTGTAAATATATATGCACCTGATCAGAGGCCAGAAAAAGTCTGGCTATTTACTATGCTGCAAAACAAGCTGCAGAGCTGCAATCAGAAGCAACTGATCATTGGAGGGGATTTCAACTGCACCCTAGATTTCACCATGAACAGAAACCATGAGGAACCACACCCCCAGTCAGCTCAGGGTCTCCATGAAATCTTAACACAACTGGATCTGTTGGATACAAGGAGGGTGAAACACCCACAAGACAGGCAGTAAAATCTTGTTAGGATTATCAACGACGGAATAAATGCCGCTAGGCTGGACCGAATATACATTTCTCACAGTCTCAGTCCCAGAATAAAACATAGCACCATCAGCCCATTTGGGTACAACTATCACCAACTTGTCGGTGTAGGCTTGATAACCACGCCAGGCGAAAACTCTTTTTAATTAGGGCATTTTAATAATAAACTCCTGCAGGACTGTTCTTTTTGTCAGGGCTTTGGGGTTATTTAGCACCAATAGAGAATTGAAAAGGTTCATTCCAATTCCCTGAAACAATGGTGGGTGGCTTTTTTTCAATCCGGGAAGATTGCGGCACAGAGGAAGCGATAACCTGTCTGAAGCTCCCAGGAGGCAGGATAACCA